TCGCTCGCAATATAACGGTTTTAGCAGATAATTTCAGACAGCACGACTTCAAATATATCTTCTTGTTCTGTATGTGGAGTTTGCACGAGCTATCGTTAACGTATCTATTTCCGTTCAATCTTTATCGCGCGAGGTGTTACAAGAAAATCAATATATCGACACGATTATAATCGCGTTTGTTATTGCAATAACTCCTTATTCAGAGGAAAGGGAATTTAGGGGAAGAAAGGAAAGAAAATTGAAAGGGGGAGAGGAAAGAAAATTTCGATCCTACCTTCGACCTTAATATTCATGCCTACTTTGATATCCCAAAATATGTATCATCTCATTTGATTCTATTCAACCTACTAACTTTGCCGAGAAGTCTTCTTATAGAGCCTACAAGTGGAATTTTGTGCATTTTCTGTCATTTAGAGGCGATACAAGCAGGACTTAGTTTCTATATGCACTGAATGAGTAATTACATGAGTATTAAATATACACCGATCCCTTGGAACGTACAGATATTAGAAAGTTCGGGGCAAAAATAGAACTAAAATTTCGATTCGAGTCGTCCCAGCATATATCCTTCGGACGCGCGCGAGGATGCTGCTTGCGTCGCGAGAAACATCTCGGATCACGCCATTATTTGTTCCTATGTCGACGCGATCGTTACGCCGTGCATACAAATCGGGTCGTAAGATGCGTGTACCAGGTGCCGTCGATGTCGTGTATCCCTCTCTCTTTTTCTTTCTCCCCCCCCCCTCTCTCTCTCTCTCTCTCTCTCTCTTTCTCTCTCTCTCTCTTTCCAACCGTCTCACTACCCGTTTACGACTACTGCGTCCGATTACCTAGTTTTTCCTTTTCCCAGGCCGGGGATGATCGTTCATCGATCATTCGTCGTCGATTGGCGACGGCGCGACGCGATATCAGTTTTTCGTGCGACGCGCTGATCGTCTTTAGATTCGGCTTGGGTTTAAACGTAGCCGAGAGTACCTGAGCGATGACGTCGCCGTCGTCGGCTCACCGCGTGCGAACTCCTCGGAGATGTTAAACGACACTGAGCGTGCAGCGCCCGTTTGCAATGTACTACGATATATCCACATACGTTTCCCGAAGAATTCTCACCTCACCTTTCCTCACCTCGTCTCGCCTCCGTTGGCTCGCTTTCGCTCGCGACGAGCGCGAGACATCGTGGCGCGCAGGTAGCTTACAGCGACAACGACGAATCCTCATCAGCTTTATCGCCAACCAGTTTTTATAGTTCGTATGGAGTAACGGATGTTCGCGCGGAACTTTACACCGGTCGAAGCGTTCATTAGAATAATTATTACGAGAATAGTTATCATGCAAATCATCCATTAGCGTGCCGACGTCGACGTGAAATCCCGTGATAATCGATTGTTTTATTTTTCTCCCTTTTTTGCCTTGCTCTCCAGTCGCCGCTAAAATATCCGTAAGGCATAAATCCGAACGATGCCCGAATGATACTACTCCACTTTTAAATGGCTGGCGTGCGACGAGTGATAAAGAGTCGCGCTGAACGGCACGCGAAACTTCGTATATCAAATGTATAAGAAAGAAAAGGAGAAAAAGGAGAAGATAAAACAAAAAAAAAGAGAGAGAGAGAGGAGAAACGTCCAATGCGAGCAGCGCGACAAAATCCTCGACATTTTCGCTAATCGCGAGAGAACGACGCTCTTCGATCTTGATGTCTGCTCTTTCAATCGTAAGAAGGATTAATTAAGCGCGCGCGATGGCGACGAGTTCACGCGATTCGCACGGCAAAAAATTGTCGCCGACGAGGAAAGGCCAAGAAATCGATACATGATTCTTGCTAGAAGCGACTACAAACTGCTGTGTCGCGATGCAATCGCTAATTCGCGATGCGCACTCTCCTCCTCGTATGTCCGTTCCACTGAGAAGTATTCCGACAAGAGAGACAGACAGACAGAGAGAGAGAGAGAGAGAGAGAGAGAGAGAGAGAGAGAGAGAGAGAGAGAGAGAGAAAGAGAGAGAAAGAAATCGCGCTGATGGCAATTAGCGCGCTTGCGGGACAAACGAGGGAGCGAAGGGCTAATGCGTCGGATATATCGGCGCGTATATACAGCGTGCGAATAATTATTGCTTTCGTCGCTCGCGCTACCGACAACGCGAGAGCCTGTCGCGTAATGCTACCTCGAACGCTGCTTTAAAGGCGACTGCGCCGGCGATAAAACCGGCCAGTGGTGCCTGAACGCGCGAAATCTCAACGTCCGCGGATTTATCCGCGCAAACGCACACAAACACACCCACGACACAACCTTTCTTCGAGAAACTGCACAAAATACTCCGCAACTGTTACGTTCGGATATACATAAAAAAAAATTAGACTACATTGTTGTAAAAATCGCTATTGCATGTAAAGAGAACGGAGAGCAAGGCGACAAAGAAAGGGAATTGTCTCGATCGCAATTTCTCCCGTTGACGCGCCGACTGCGCCCGCCGGCGTTTTCCTAGGAGGCAGGACGAACGAGCTGCGAAATTACGCCCGCGAAAGCGCCGGCAGGCACCACTGCGCGACACCTCTCACGAAGCAGAAGAGGTGATATAGTTGCCGCCGGTAGGAGGAGACGGGAAGGGGGGAGGGTGTTACAGCATGGTCGCGAGCGGCGTGCAGCTTCGATGCGATCGCATCGAGTAACTCAGCTCCTCCGCCGCCTGCCTCTTCTCCTTCCCGGCGACTAGGACTGAATTATGACCCGCGGTCGTGGACACTCGCCAACACGCTTCGTCGTTTAACCCTTTGCCCGATCCGCAGTCCCGAAGCGCATTCTTGCCATTGCCGGCTTGGCTTTTCCCTCGAACCGGCCGGAATCGCACGATTTCTGGCGGAGAGAATGGTCGCGATGTCTGGTCTGACGCGGCCGGGGCGAGGGACCGGTTCTCCTCGCGCGCATTTCAACACGTCTCGAAAGTCGGGCGTACTTTTCTCTTCTCTTTTCTCCTTTTTTATTTTCACTCGCTCCCATCGCGGGAGTCCTTCGCAAAATTTCGACCTAATCGTCGTGGCCACGAGATCCCTGCGCTGGAAACCGACGGTGCGACGCTCTGTGAGTCCAAGTGAGTCTGTCCGCGGACGGGAAAGCGTACCGGAAGTGTCATTCGCGTTAGCTCTGTCGGCGATCGAGAGGCACGACGCGGTGAGAGGCTCGAAAACACTGCGTTCGGACACCGTTATTTCCATCCCGGGCGCAGTGCCACGCGCCATCGTCGTGCGACAGTTGGCCCTCGAAACATCGACGAGGCAACAACGACGACGACGAGGTCGAGAACGCGGACGCGTCGTCGGCACGACGAGGGCGCGCATTAACGCGACTCTCTATCCCGATGCCATAATGCGCGCATAGGTTTTTCGCCCCGGCACAATGCGTCTGGGGGTTCCGACAATATGTTTGGGGCCACCGAAACGAGGCAATGGATGGATGGATGGCCGGGACAATCGTGGGGAGCGGTTTCTCTTTCTCTCTCACTTTCACTCTCTCTCTCTCTCTCTCTCTCTCTCTCTCTCTCTCTCTCTCTCTCTCTCTCTCTTTCTTGCTCCTCTCATGGTAGGGGTGTTCCACGGGGGTTTGTTTAGGTCCCAGGCGCGAAAGGCACTCAACCCGCTAATCTATTTAGCCGTAGTGTTTGATATGGAATTAATGAGGCCCAGCAAAGGCATTATGTCTACGGGGCCCGGTAGACTTTCGGCTCAGCCGTGGAAATAATAAAGGAGGGAGGAGAGGTCCGTTAGAACCTCGCCTCGCAGCCGCGGCGGCGTGTACATCTCTTTAGAGCGTCGCGGAACGCGTAACGGAGTTTCTCTAACTCTCTCTCTCTCTCTTTCTCTCTATCCTCGTTTGCGTGATCCGGCAGCTGCCTACCCGAGGTAACGCCTCGTCGACACTTCGGGATATAGCATCGACGAGGTTTCCAACCCTTAACGAGACGCGCCCAATTCCCAATAGTAGTATTCCGTGTTCGCTTTACACCGCTCGTCTCGACGCACGCGGTTCTGAGAAAAACTTGGCGAAAAAATAGCGAATAATCACGCGCGTGGCAACTGAGAGAAGAAAAGTAATTAGCAGAAGGTGCTAAGCTGCAGCGGCTGGGATGCTTCTTTGAAATGGGACAGCTCATGTCACTGCTACTGACGATCAATTTATTAGCCTTCTGGCTAAATTCGAGTCAACTACTGAGACTCAATTGATGATTACTAAAGTAGACGCGATTTGAGTCATTTGACCATAGAAGAAGGAGGGCATACTAGGTGGCGGCGGGACGCCGTGCATTCGAGATCTGCGTGACTTTTCGTTCCAGAGAGAGAAAAATATCGAGAGCACGGTTTTACTAGGCCGGGACTCGAACCCGGGTCTTTCGCTTGCCGGGCGACTGCTCTAAACCACTGCTGAGAGCTTACAATACTCTCCTCTCCCTAGATAACGCTCAGAGATGCCGTTCGGAAGCGACATCTCTGGCGCGATCTCGAACGCACGGCGACTACAGAGAGAAACAATGTTACTGTACCAAATGGTACAGCCTTTTAACTGAGAGTACACAAGCGTAACACAGCTCTCATGAGGGCAAAACAATTAAGAAAAATGTACCTTCTTTTATTCTTATTCACAGCGAAATTGATGGCTCCAGAAACAAATTTGTATATGGGAAGAATTTCGTAATAAAAATCTCTGTAGAATCTTGTAACCGAGAAGTAGATTTCAACGTTCTGCAGTAATTGACTCTAGCCTTTCATTTCATAGACGCTATTTATATTTCAGGATTTATATTTGTATATCAATAACTCTGGAATGTGTGTATATCATTAAAAAATTTGCTATGTTCTTAGCGAAACTGACTATGCTACATCTGAATGACAGTCTATTCCTGCTGGAAACATAGTAAACTCGAAAAGCTACGAAGATATTCCCTCCGTGTAGAATTAAAGAGTTAGTAGGCACATCTCGAAACTGTTGCGATCCAGCGATTATGAATTGTTGCAGTGTCCTGTGACAGTGAGCTCGTCGTTGGCGCCGTCCTCGGTTTCGCCGGCAACCGGCGCGATACTGAGCGCGGGGGGTTCGTCCCTAATCGGCGCAACCGGTACGACGACGAATCATCCGCTGGACGTAGCCGGTCTGTCGAACGCGAGGATGGCGGTGACTAGCGCGGTGGTGCGGCCACCGGGTAGTCCCACTACCTCGGTCAGCCCGTCTCAGGGTCATCCGCCGCCATCGGCCGGCGGTCCGGCAGCTGCCAGGTGCTGCGACACCGGTCGACCGATCTTCACGGACCCGTTGACGGGCCAGACCGTCTGCTCCTGCCAGTACGAGCTGCTGGGTAGCTACCAGCGTCTAGGAGGACTACCCACGGCGGCTCTCTCCATGTACAGCGCGCCCTACGCCGCCGCCGCAGCGGCCGCAGCGTCCGAAGGCATGGCGGCGTACTTCCCTAGCTTGGGCGCCGAGCAAGCACCCTTCTACACGCCCACGGTGAGTAGTGAACGCTATCAGCACACGATTGTTCCATCGTCGCGCCGAATATCGCATAAGAAAAAATAGATTGCCCGATTCGGGCAAATAATAATAATAAACTCACCTTTGGCGGATTTCATCTTGATGAGCGAAATAATCGTCTTGCATTTCGAGGTAATTTCGGCTCGCAGCACAAATTCATCAATGTTTTTATAAGAATCATGCCGAGAGCTTACTCGGAGAGTTCAAGAGATAAAGAAATTTTTACGTTCTAGTGCTAAATTTTATTGTAATTTTGTAAAGTGTAATTTTACATAGCTCGAAGACCTAAGCTCGTATTAATAATCACTAGTTGAAATTTGTCCCACGTGAGACATTCAGGTATTTAGAGTTCTTAGATTTGAGTTTCCTCTTCTTTTCACATCACACAATATATGCGACACTACATTTGCAAATCGCGATTCAGTTGAAGGAGATTCACATCTAGCTCTAAATTCAAATCTGAGTACTTCACCTGAGGCAAGTCTCAAGTAACGACTATTAATGTGGCTCTTAGTTACCGTAAAATAGAAAAAACTGGCTGCCCGTGTATCACGACTACAAATTTGCCAAGGCAGCGGGTTTTTTTCGTTATAGCGGCAAATCCTTTTCTCCGTGCGACAGTGAAAAGTCGAAGGGGGCGCGAAAGTTCGCGGGGGGTCGCGGCGTAGAAAATCGCGCGTCCGCATAATTGCACTTCCTGCGTTAGAAATATCCTAGCTGTATACACGAAGGGAATGTTATAGTAAAAATTATAATACAATTTTAGTAGTCTGGGAATGGACTGACATTATTACAAAAATTATAATAAAACATAGTTAAAATGTCTATAAACATGATAATTTTTACTATATTTATAGTAATTTTTACCATGTTGATAATTATTTTTACTATGTCTTATTATAATTTCCATCATAGTAAAACTGTATTGTAATTTTTACCACAATATTCTCTGAAAACGCGCGCCCGTGTACGCGCGCGTGTATGTGTGTGTGTTCGCACGGTTTCTGGAATTTCTGCCGCGGCATACAAGGAGCGCGGAGGCGATGGTGGTCGTATCGGCTAGAGTATCCCAGGTAGATAACATCGGGGCACCTCTAAAATAATACGTGAAACAAAGGGTACCGCGGATTTTTCACGATACCGTCCGCGATAACACGTCCGAAAATTTGGAGTTGCGTAGCTAGACCCGGACCGACGTTATTGACTTTATTAACGTAGTTTCTGGCCAACAAGATCACCGTTAGCGAATATATTTCACGATACGCCGCGTTTTATCGTGTAACTTTCGTCCCGTACACTCCTCGGCTCCCCTCCCCTCGCATGGCGTATCCACGCGAGCGGAAATAACGATACGGCGATGCCGACTAACGATCGCGTAATCGGCGGAACTCTCAGTTACTCAACATATTTATATAATATGCCGTATAATACATGGGGCGTGTGTAAAATTGAATTTATAAGGTTACCCGCGTTTCCACGTAGGCAGCATATCGCGACGGATTAATCGCATTTACGCGCGCCCAGACACATAATTAATGGCCCGACCATTACAAAGTGTTCGGTCTCAATTCGGACACTCGGAAATGAATATCGTTAAGCATCCGGCAATATATCGATAAACGCCCGGCACGTGCTTGCCGCGACACAACGATGACGTTATATTCTCTCATAAAGTTTTTATCACGCGGATTAAATATCCCGATATCGGCGGAAGAGGGGTAGAGGTTGGGAACGCTTCTATATTCACCCAACTTATCCGAATGCTGCGAAGTGATGTGTTTATTTAGCAGATTAACGAAATTCCGTAAATCTCGCCGCGATTCGCGAACGCGCGGATCCTCCCGCTGCTTTTCTCAGTGTGCGCACAGGGGGCGAAATATTTAAAAAATAGTCGGTACTTGTTCGATGTACCGTGTAATAACGTGTTCGTGCTTACTAATATAACATATTTCAGAACAGACCTAAGTACTCACTATTGCTCGGACATTTTGTCTCTCTCAGTGCACGTCGCCATTTCGGCGATTTTCACCCGGCGACTCGAGACATCGTCGCGACCTCCCACGTAACATTAGCGTGTATTAGAATCCGGAGAGGAAGCGCCTCGGCGTATCCGCTCGTCCGGCGAACGAGCGAACGAGCGTTTATCGGACCGCACGTGAAGTGTACACGAGGGAGAGAATAGCGCGGCGAAGCGTAAATTTATGAATCCGTTCTGCCGTAACAGTGGGACACTGTCGTGTATTGCCGAGCCGCCGCCGCCGCTACTAAGACCGAGCTGTTATCGTCGCTCTTTATGATCGAGCTTAAGGGGCGAGTATATAGTGTAGCCTGCTCGTAACGAGACATAGTACATTGTACAGGTTGCGCGGCAAGTTCCTCGCGGGGTCGTGCTACGACGTTCGTGATATCTCTCCCTGTGTGTGTATAAAGTATGTATAAAGTTGTCAAATATCGCTTTTTAGTGAGAACGATTATTTCCACCCCCGTCCGCGTGCCTCAGTCCACACCCATTGCGGACCCGTTTCTCCCTCGGCATCTACGTTCGATGTAATTATTCCGACCGATGCTACTCTTCGCGTTAAATTTACATCGCTCGATTCGTTCATCACTGCCATCATCTCTATTTCTTTCTTTTTCTTTCTCTCTGTCTCTTTAAGAAAGAAATAGAAAGGAAGAAGGGGGGAGGGAGAGAGAGAGAGAGACTCACATGAGTCTCACGTACACATGTCAATCGTATATTTTCGTCGGTTCGTTTCACCCCCGTTGTGTCTCGATGGAAATTCAGATATCTAATTGCACGTCGTTAATTAATGTAAGTACATAATATCAGATTATTATTGTTATTGTATGCGTAATTATATGCGATTTATATTTATAATTACGAGAGAGTGAAAGAGAGCGAGAGAGAGAGAGAGAGAAAGTGGGGGGGAGGGAAAGTGAGTGAGCGGGAGCCTTTTATGGGTCCATTATCTCGCTAGATAAAATACGGTAGAAATTTAATAGCGACCATTCTGTCGTATAACCGAGGTCGCGGGTTAGAGAAGCAAACAAGAGAGCCACACACATCGATCCTAATTATTATTATCAGCGCTTTGCCAGCTATTCTTTCATCACGGTCGATGCATCGGGGCGATCGGGCCGGAGCCGTTGCGCGATACGGACTAATTGCGACGTTCGTTCTCTAAAAATGGATCTTTCGACCAATTAACCGCATTCTGCGCGATTTCATTTAAAAACTGCGATAATGAGTGACCGGGTTCTCTCTTTCTCTCTTCATAGCGTAGAAGAGCTCTCTCTCTCTCTCTCTCTCTCTCTCTCTCTCTCTCTCTCTCTCTCTCTCT